GAAAGAGTCACCAAGACAGGGAATAAGGGAGAAGGAGTAGACGGAGAGAGGGAAGATGATGGATTCAACTTTTAATTTTGTTATGTCCCTTCAAAATTCAAACGTTGAGGTTCTAACCCCTAACACCTCAGAATGTGATTGTATTTGGAGATAGGGCCTTTAAAGATGTGATTACAGTGAAAGGAAGTCATGTGGATAGGGCCTAATCCAGTATGACTGGTGTCTCATCTTTATGAAGATTAAGACACGGGCAGCACAGAAGGAGGGACAACCGTGTGAAGACACAGTGAGAAGGCAGCCACGTGTGAGCTTCAGAAGAAATCAAACCTGCCAGCACCTTGATTTTGAACTTCTACCCTCTGTTGCTGTTGTGTAAGTCTCAGGGTCTGTGGCATTTTGTTATAGCAGCCCTGGCAAACCAGTGTGAACTTGTTTAGTTTGAAAGTATCTGTGGGTGTTTTATGGCAATTGTAAGTGTGGATTTGGGGTTCAGGAAAGAGGACTGAACTAAAAGTAGTTAGGGATATACACAGGATGGCCAAAGCCGTGTATATAAAAGTGAATCTATGAGGAACTCAAGAAGCTTACCCAGAAGATAATGATTAACCCAATTAAAGGATGAGCAAATGAGCTGAACAGACATCTCCAAGGAAAACATATGAACAGCAAAAAAGCATATGAAAAAATGCTGAACCTCCCTTATTATAAGGGAGATGCAAATCAACTGATGATTTGAAAACCACAATGAGATTCCACTTAACCCCCATCAGAATGGCTAAGATTAAAAAAATAAACAATGATAAGTGCTGGTGAGGCTGTGGTTAAAAGGGAACTCTCCTACACTGTTGGTGGGAATGTAAACTGGTCCAGCCACTGTGGAGAACAATATGGAGGTTCCTCAATGACCTACAAATAGAACTACCATATGATCCAGCAATTTCACTCTTTGGTATTTACCCAAAGGACAGGATGACACCCAGTTGGACACGTGCTTAGACATCCATGTTTATTGCAGCATTATTCACAATTGCTAAGACATGGAACCAATCCAAATGTCTATGAACAGATGAATGGATTGAAAAAGTGTGGCACATATACTCTATGGAATACTATTCAGTCATTAAAAAAAAAAACAATGAAAGTTGGCATTTGATGGAAAGTGGACAAATATGAAAGATTTACTGCTGAGTGAAGCAAGCCAGACTAGAAAAGAGAGACATTGTATGTCCCCACTTAATATATACTGAATGTTCACACTCTGTGGCAGAAACGGAAAGATTGGAGGATACGTAAGAATGAAGAACATTGTGGATACTGGAGATGTGTGGGAGGAGGGCGGGAGGTGGGGAACAGTGAAAGCAAGGGAATCAAGGAGAAAAATAGAGACTCTTAAGAAATTTAAGAAACACAGAAATGGTGGATTGTCTGTTGATGATAACGCGTTTGATAGTATCTTTTAGTAGACTGGTATATAGTATATTTATGCTGGAAAAATTCATTTCACAAGCTGTGGTGATATACAGTGATTGAATGTATTAAATAAATAAATAAATAAATCTCCAGGGAGAGTCAAAGGGTGAAGAGAGGAGAGAGCTGAGGAATAAAGCAACATTAAGGAATAGGGAAAGGTAGACAAGCCGCTGAAGGAGACCCAGAAATGTCTGAGAATTAGGCAGGAGCAAAAGCAGAGAAGAGTGGAGGCCTAGAGGCAGAGAGTAGGTTTGCGGGAATTTGGGGAAAGGAAAGGCTAGCTACCAAATGCCAAGGAGAGGTTAAACAGAGTATAAGAACTGAAGGAGGGTCTTGGGATTTTGCATCTGTAAAGAGAGAAATGGCTGGGGGTGGGGGGCAGGATCAAGGGCCAGACTGCAGTGGTTTGGGGTGTGAAGGGAAAAGTGAGGGGGAAGAACGACTAAGAGGGTCAATTATTTTCAGGAGACCTGAGGGAAAGAAGAATGTGGTATAGGCTGATAATGGGAGGGAGTCTCCTTTTTTTCTGTTTTGAAATAGTCCTCTTTTAAAATCTTTAAATTTTTTACTATTTACTTAAATTTTGCCAGAGGGTGTGCACGCTCTGCAGAGGGAGAGAGGGAGACAGCACTAGTGGGATATGGCCACACCACAATCCCTTTTCCTCCATTTTTCCATCTCTGTGCCACCATGGCTGGCCGAAGTGTTACTGTTCTTAGTGTCTCAACAGAAAGTGTCAATAGGCCCAGCCATGGTAGCAGGTGCTAGACACTGCCTCTTGGCAGGCTGAGACCACATAGGAGATTCCCAGCCCACTTTAAAAACTGTACATAGGGACAGTGGGTGGTGTGGAGCAGAGGTGGGGGTAGTTAAGCTAGATCCCACATGGCTGACTACACAGTTTTGAGTCCTGGACCCAGCGGTGGCTTGAGAAATGTGTTGGGCATGTATGCATGCGTGCCCCAAATCCCGAGAGGATGGAGGAGGAGGGATGGTGGTGTGGCCATCCCCCAGGTCCCCGCCATGATTTTTCACTTTCCCTTTCTCTCTATCTCTGTCTTTCTCTGGCAAATGCCATGCATCGCATAGCAGAAATTAAAAAAAAAAAAAAAGGGCTGGGCATGGTAGCACCTGCCTGTAGTCCCAGCTACTTAGGAGACTGAGATAGGAAGCCTGCAACACAGTGAGACCCTGGCCAAACACGCTTATACCAGAGGAAGAGGGAGAGAGATAATATAAATTAGTAAGAAATTCAGGTTTCAAAGAAAAATGGGCAGAGAAAATAGACAATTCATCAAAGGAGGAAATACAAATAACTAATAACTAAAAGAAGTTGGTCTCACTGGCAATCAAAAATGCAAATCAGATAAAGAGGCACAATATTTTGCTTTCGGCAAAGATTTCCAAGATGATAATGCTCCTTTCTGCTTGGAGCGCGCTGAGATAGCTCTCATCCTACCTCTAGAGATAATTTCCTATGGTTGTTAGGCCTGCCTTACAAGATTGGGCCCATTCAGTAAGTTGTTGGAGCCGAGTCAACTAGGAAATGGTGGCACTTGGATCTGGACCTGGACTGGGTCACTCTGTCATAAAGAGGGGCTTAAAAAGTAGTTGCAGGAAGAAGAAGTGAAGACGGGGAAATGTAGCTTGAAGAGCCAGACTCATGCCTTGGCAGTGTCCATGTAGAAGAACATATGGGCTTGGATGGTGTGGCGGGGTAAGCCAGTGAGGACACCCAGCCTGGGGAAGCAGAGATTCTGAGACTTTCAGGATTTCCTTTTTTTTTTTTTTTTTTTTTAAGAATTATTTAATTTTATTATTTTTAAAGTTCACTAGAGATACACAGAGGTGGGGTGGGGGAGGAAGAGTGAGGAAGCAAGCCACTAGGTTCAGGGCTTGAACTGTGGCCTGCCATGTGGGAGTTCGGTGCCTTAACCACCAGGCCACTTGCTGGACTTAGAGCCTTCTTGACTAACCCTGAAGCAGGCTGCAGGGCATGGGGGAGGGTAGTCTCATCTCTTAGAGAAGGAAACATCTCTAGGTGGCCAAGACCTTGGTATCTTTGGAGTTTCTGCTCTTTAGTCAACAGACAGAAGACAGACCTATTCTTTGCTTCTAGGGCCCAGTGACCGAGGAGAGTCAGAGCCCTGACTGGCTTTGCCACTCTCCTCCAGCTCCTACAGTTCTAAGCCAGCAGGAAGCTGGAGCTTGCCAAACTGTAGGTCCAAGTCAGGAGGGAGAGCTGAGGTGAAGTAGCCCTGTCAATTCTCTTTTGCCCTTTTCTGGAGCCCTGCTACTGCCTGGGGGAGAGGGAGGGGACAAAGGGAGGTGAGAGTAGTCCTGTTAGAGAAGAGGCAAACAATGAAAAAGAACCACTAGGGACCAGCAGGTGGAGTAATGACTATGTCGCTCGGCTCCCATGTAGTCAACCATGGGTGGGTCCCAGACCCAGTGGCTTAAACCTCAAGGTGGGCTTGTGTGCGTGCATCTCCAAGATCCCAAGAAGAGAATGGAGAAGGGATTGAGGTGTGGCCATCCTCCATGGGGGGTGATTTCTCACTTTTTGTTCCTCTCTCTCTGTCTCTCTGGCAAGCACACACATCCTGTAGCAAAAATCTCTCTTAAAAAAAAAAAAATGGAATGAAAGTAGTAGCTACTTTTGGTGCCAAAAAAAAAAAAAAAAAGGAAATCCATGTGGTGTTTTTCATAGTATTCATTTTCCATGAACTTCTTGAGCTAAATGAAAGAACCAGGTCGCCAAAGCCTACAGGTTTAACCACTACACTCTAGTTGCCTCAAAACCATGATAAATCTAACAGAGTAAAATATAGTATAGAGAAAAGACTGGAAAGAAATGCAACAAATTATTAAAGTTTCTGGATGGTGAAGTTTTTTCCCCTCTATTTCCCAATTTCTTTCTTTTCTTTTTTTTTTTCCCATTCAAGATAATTAAATTGTTTATTGATTACACATGATAATGGAAGATACACAAGCTTTATTCCCATCTATTTTATCTGGTACCATTATTTAATTTAGATATATTGCATAGGATGTGCCAACAATCATTTTGTAATAGCCAAATTGTGACTTTGCTTGGGTGAACCTCTGAATGAACCGCAGGCCACAGTAACTGTCAGTTCAACTACACTGATGTTTCTGAAGACAACTGGTTTCTCCACCCAAGCAGGTAATAATGATTATTTAATTTCAAAATGGAACCTGGCACCACCCTGAAGGGATTGTAACTACACTGTTGGGAAATTTACCAAGATGGCTTCAGAGTAGACTAACTTTTTAAAAAAAGACACATTTATTCAGCGTCATGATCAGACAATTACATTTAGCAATCAACAGTATGGGTGCAAAAGAAAAATCTACATTAAAACCCTTTGTTAGAATGCTTTACACTTTCCACAGAACAGAAACTAAAATAACCTGTTATACAATTAGTCACAAATACAGTCCTCGTGCTTTTTGCCCATACACATGAGTATTGTCTAAAACATGTCTTCTTTGCAGCAGCTAGGCCCTGCCACCACTGTGCTTGGCTGAGTTCACAAATCTGTTGTAACCTGTAGCTTCCCTGTCACTTCTCTGGCTCTCCTCTCCTGCTAAGCTTTGTTTCCTGGCAGTTAATTAAAACCTTCTGCCACTGCCATAGCTCCT